GAGGGGTTTAAAATGGAGAATGAGGGCAAAATAGTTCTTGTTCACACTGAGTAACCCCCCTTCCCCGTCCCGGTTCAATGGTAAACAAACTGGGAGAGGGGGGGGGGGGTTAAACTGAAACTTAGGGGGCGGTTTGGGGGGTAAACTTGTAAACATGCGGATGGGCATAGGGATAAGCGTAGAAGCGTAGGGGAGTAGTTTAAATTCGGGTGTGAGGGGGAGGGGCAAAAGCGGAAGGTGGGCATGAGCGGGGGTTAATTTAAGTCGGTTTAGGTTGCGAGTAGGCCATGAGTAACGCAGAATTGTTGCAAGTTTTGCAATTTATTTTCCCAAAAATGTTAAGATTTTATTTCGTTATAATCAATTATATTGGATTTTATTGGTATGACTTTCTACGAAAGCAATCGATTATAATGACAGTCTTAAATTGCAACAAAAATGGATTACAATGACAACAATTTAGACAAAAATTTTCCATTATAATAGATTTTTATCCACGAAACTCCGATGCGGGAAACGTTTATTTGAGTACAAAACTTGTTTTGTGCTTGAGAGGATACACAAAAACTTTTGAAGAAAAGTTTCGAAACTGAGTTGTAAAAGTTGAAGTGAAATTATGCATGGTAGCCGCATGATTCGCGTTTTTCTGCTAAATTTCTTTTTTTTACTTCGACCACATTCCACATTACGTGCCTTTTGAGTATGACCCAATACGTATGACCACATTACGTATGACCCAAACTGTGCCCTTTGAGAGTTGTAAGTGGGTTCCGCAACCAGAACTCCCCCTTTGTTCTTCTTTTGTTCTATCATTTTCTTTGATTGTTCCGAATAAATTTTAACATTCGTAAAGACTTCCCATGTTAACCTCCATAAACCGAAAATGCTTATCTTATAATTCCATACACCAAAAATGCTTGTCACACAACTTCATACATCAAATAAATGAAAAAATGCTAATCGTACAATTTTCATATAGCTTGAAAATTCTTCGGGGAGTGATTTGTTAAAAGAGGTTGGGAAGAACAGGGAAAACTTTAAAACTCAGATCAAAATTTGTTTTTGCTGAAATATTCTCGTTGAAATGAGTTAAGCATTGGCCTGCTGGAATGAGTTTGCTGGAATGAGTAAAGCAAACGGTAGAGACAAGTTGCTTAATTTTGTGGTGAACATTATGTAATAAATAACCTCTTCTAAAAACAATGCTTTTTTTTCGTATTGGCTATTGCAGAAAATGGTGTAAAAAAACTTCTTTGTTCTTTTTATAAATCAATTTCTGCTGTTGGTCAATTGAGCTCACCTTTAGCAAGCAGAAAAACAGGCTTGTGGTCTTTAAAAATTGATGAATGTATAATGATGATTTATAATGAAGCGAGAAACAAACAGGCAAAAATTAATGATCGATGTCTAAACTAGCCAAAAATTGAAGCTAAGGACACCATAGCAGGCTTTAACGGTCCAGCTGAGTATTTTTTCTGTTGTAACGATTACGTTCTCTGATATTGTACTCAGAATCGGAGATGAATTACGCAAACGGATGAGTACTAGACAATTATTGAACACCAATTTTAAATTGGATCGTAAAATTTCCAGGAGTGTGCAGATTGTTTTTTAGCCATGGGCCATTCTTTTCATAAAATGTTTTACACGTTTTTGGTATGTTAATTAGTCGTAAAAAAGGAGGCAAAAACAATTAATCTCATTAACTTGGTTTTATATTTAATCATCAACTTAAATTTTTTCTTGTTGTTTTGAAATTTTCCTAAAAACAAGAAAAAAAAACATTTTTATTCTCATGAGTTTCAAAAAATGCTGATTAAAACTTTTCAACGAATTAACGATGTCGTTTTCCAGACTCTCTTTGTTATGATTAACGTTTTGACAGCTATTCAGCTGTGATGCGTCATCTGCATTTTGTATAGTGTCACAGTTTATAGTTTGTGTATATCATTGAAATATGGATTGAGCGAAAGAGGGTACGAAAACTAAAACAGAAAAATCCCCTGCTGAAGATATGTTTTGAATTCATAATAGATGAAAATTCTAACCTCCAATAAGGTTTCGCCTAAATTACTAAAAATGAAATTCTGGAAACTTAGTTATTGTTTTTTGTCACTTAAAACCTTGCCAAATAACGTTTTTATGAAAAAAAAAACATCACAAGCTTTCTTTTTCCTGATTCTCACTTTATTTTTCAGGTTCTTTTCACGCTATCTGATTATGCTGATTCAAAAAATTGGTTGTAAGAGTATCATTATCTTTCTCATTTTATTCGGACACTAGAAGTTTAAATTCCGTGAACTTTCGAAACTTCTCATAATGAGAAGTTTTTCACGATCCATATTTAAACTGCATGTGATTTTCGATTCAAAAATTTAGATGGTGAAAACACTGGTTGTTGTTTGTTTTAAACATTTTTTGAGCAAATTTCATAATAATTTCTTGAAAAACCTCCTCCAAAACAATCAACATATTGTCAGCATCAGTTTGCAGATAAAAATTTGACAAAATGGGATGTTTTACCTGATATCTGAACTTATCAGTTGAACAGTTTTTAAACGAAAAAAGTTTCTTCTTCAAAAGATCTTTTTTGATTCAGTTGAGTGGTATAATTAATTAGTAAATTAAGATGCACACCCTTCATAGGGCAGCCAAACGCAAAAGTATCCATTGTTCTTAAACTGGTGTTCAAAAAAAAGGAATCATTGGGTGAATTACCAGCAACTTATGCAGATGAAAAATTGTTGCATATTCATAGAACATAAGGACTCAATTTCGTATCTTTTTTTGATCTCCGTTTAGATAATTCAAGTTATAGTGACAAAGATGCATTAATTTATAACTGCCTGTGGCTGCCTTATCAATGCCTTTTGCAAGTTCTTTAGGAGAGTAATTTTTTAGGTCATAGGACAGTAGAATAAACTTACTAAAATTCCTTGGCTTGGTTTAAATTGAGAATTAATCGACAAATTATGAAACTGAGAGTCAGAAGTCTTAAAATCAGGCATAAATCGTGAAAACAGGCGTGTTGAAATTGGCACAAAAAGCAGTCAATTTTCTCTTTTGTTTGTGTTACACGAGACTTTTTACGACGAAAATCTGAAATTGTTAGTTTTTGAGATCGTTTGTGTCAAATTTAGCTCTAGGCGATAGCTTTGTTTCACTTACAACAAAACACCACAGCTGATAAATAAATGGCTTACCAGACTACATATCTGAAAATGTTTTTTGAAGACTTTGACACTTTACATGAATGAATTTTAAATTTGTTTGGAATTATGGCATTTTTTTGAAAACTTTTCAAGATTGCCGGCTGAACGCAATGGACTTAGATTAAGTGAAATCTTCTGACCCTTGATAAGTTTTCTCTGGCTTTGAAAAAGAAAAAATTCTCATCATCATAATCATTTTGATTAGACAACAATGGCATAGAAGTAGTTATTAACAAAAAAAATTGGGTCACTTCGACGCATAAAAGGATGGTATATCTCTATTGACCTATCGACCGTTTACAGCTTTAAACAACAAAAAAAATTACTTGAAAATGCTACTTGCCAACTGATACAGACTTGTATGATTGCAAGCTATAGGGTTGGAAATAGCACTGTTGATATCTGTGCTGTCTATACTGCAGCATAAATTGACTTGCATTGTGGTCACTAACATCATATCATACTGGTTGATACCATGAGAAGTATTCAAAAAAAGCCCCATAAAAGATTTCGTAAGGAATACCTTTTTCATAATTCAGATGCAAATTATCATGTGAGATTTCAAAATGATCCGCAATTCTTAGGGAAAAAATGGGTCTTTCTTTGATCAGCTCATTTAGTTTGAACACTTGTACTTTAGCATAGGTCCTAAGTTTCTCATCAATCTTATTTTTAAACTCATCAATTTTTTTGTTTTTTGAAATAAATTCTGGTGTAATTTTGAAAAGCATTATTTCTCATTTTACGAGGAAATCATGTTTAAACAGAACCACACACGTATCTACAGTAAACTCATCGTAAATCTCCACAGTAGACTTGTTAAGTTTGACCACATTATTTGTACCATCTTGCAAAATTACAACTTTCGGTTTGTTTGAGCCGTTTTTTTTAAAATTTTTTCATTTTTTTTGTCTAGGAGCAACAGTTTTTACTGGGTGATAATATTTGAGAGAATAGCAAATGTTTGAAAAATACCCATCAACCCTATATTTTAAATAAATTTGAAGTTTTATCTCTATTCATAACCCTGTAAACGCAACTGAAGTCCTTTTTAGACCAATTATGTGGAAGAAAATTTTTCAAAATGTTCAATCAGATAAGCATCTATAACACATGAGCAGTTTTTCTGAAAGACCAAAAAGTCTCATCACCGAGGGATAGTACCGTTTGAGCAACTGAATCCATCACAATACAAAAAAGTGCATGCCATAATACGGAAATGTCAGTTGCTCCTCACACAAAACGTAGGACTTCTATTTCTCAATTCGTTAGAACTAGCTGTAAAAAAGGGCTTCATTAGTTTGAAGTTTTTACTCGGAATCGGAAAAGAATAAATTTCAGGTGATTTTATACTTTCTATAATTGAAAGCTCTTCAGGGAATGAGTTGTGAAATAGCTTGGATAGTATAGGGAAAAACCTGAAACCCAGCACAAAGAATGTTTGTTGCTGAGTTATGCTGAGTTAAATAAATGATTAAAAAAACATCCCAAAAAAACAATTTACGACTAAAAAACTTAATCCCAAATTACAGCAATCAATTTTTTGGAAGTCATTGCCGTTTTGTTTTAATTAGTTTATAGGTAATCTGTCTATTTAAACTCAGCACATTAAGCATCTCAAGAAAAATCACTCAATAATTTTAGCTTATTTTCAATTTGATTTTTTAAAAAAACCAATTGGCTTAAATAAGTTTTGATTTTCATCGATTTCTAATATTTGTTAACCTACTGAAATACAACTGTGCATCAATTTCTTGATTTTACTTTTTTATTATTTTTATGGTGATTTTTCTTGAGTGAAGAATTACTTGGATGAACAAATGATGTTGACAGTTTTTTTGAGCGCTTTGCGCATTGTAGGTATGGCCAGGTAGCTGAATGCTCTAGCAAATGCGCCCACTGAAGAGAGAATATGAGCCATGGTCACGACCAAGTTATTTGACGTCAGTCCCTGAAACATTTTTAAAGTTTTCTTTGTTAGTTAAAAAGCTTTCTTTGTTAGTTTTCTTTGTCATATAAAACAGTTTTCTTTGTTAGTTAAGAGTCCTACTTTGGTATCCCAATTTTACAGAAAGGCAAACAGTTCAGAAATTGAAAACCTACCTTCCAAAATGTGTGTTTCTTACTTGAGTTATGAAAAGTTCATCGGTTTGAAAATCCGTTCTAATTCAAGCTTCATAAACTTTGCCATACGTTATCGTATGACATTTGCTCTGCTTTGCTTAGCTGAACTTACATTTTTATGAGTCGTTTAGCGCAAATGAATCAATACTGGTGATTAGTCTAGGTTGAACCAGTTGATATTTGAATGTTTTTTTTTGGCACTGAAGTGGCCAATTAGACTTTCTAGAAGCTAGGTGTGATCAGTTTTGTACCCCAAATTTTAGCGTAAAACATTGAATTAGCAAAAATTCACATCAAAAACAGGATGATAATTGTTCGCGCATGTACATTTGCGCAGGTTATTGTTGTAGAACATTAAAACTTTTCATTTTGACGTTAACATCAGTTTAAAATTCTGTCTTTTGTAGAGAAAAACGTCAACTTTTCATTTACCCGGTTGTGTATGAAGAGCAAAGTTTGCTGGCCGAACGCAAATACGGTATACAACACGCAGTAAACCATCAGTCCTCTAGTCACCTGAAACCATTGCAGGAGATTAAACAAGTGTTAATCAAATTTCGAAATTTCACGATCATTCTTAATGAAGAATATTTCAAGTGTTTTTATTTTCTTTTTATTTTTTCAACAAAATTTGCATCAAAATGTTAATAGTCCCTCTAAAGTTAAAATTAATTATCAATGAAATTGATAAAAAAGATTTTAAAAACTTAAAGCAATTGGGTTGATAAAATATGCTGTTTTCAAACCTCAATATAATCTCATTTGATGTTACTACATCACGAGGCCAAACTGTGCATTTTGTGAATTGTAAGCGGATTCCGCAACCAGCTAAAATCAGATTCCAAACAAAAATCGTGGAATCCGCAAAAATTTTAAAGGAATACGAAACAGTTTATAGAATCCATGAGCAAATATATAAAATATAGGTGTTTAATAAACTTAAGCTGTCGTGGAATCCGCAACTAGAAGTGGAATCCGCAAACTGGAAGTAAAATCCGCAAATTGTATGTGAAAGCCGCATAAATTTGCGGAATCCACTTACATTTGTAGAATCAACTCACATTTGCGGAATCTTGAACAACTGCATACATTCGCTCGTTGTGGAATCCGCAACAAAACTAATGTGACCACAAAATTGACGTTACAGGTATTTGTACGCGGAATCCATATAATTTTTTTAGTGGAATCCACTTGCACTTTGAAATATCTGACTTGTCTCTGGAATCCACGAACATACAAACAAAAAATTGAGCTCCTATCCAGTGCACAGCTTGGCCTCGTAATGTATAATCTAGCTGAGAAATCTTCTAAATATAATTTTGGTAGCCGAAAATTTCTTATCAGTTATGTCATAACAGCGTAACATTAAGCACCGCTTACCCCAGATTTTTTTGAAACTCAGTATTCATGAAAAATCTACATCTTGTAAAATAACTTCCAAAAATTTTACTTCGAGCAAAATAGAACTCAAAAATTTAAAGGATTCAACAAAATTTTGTACAGGATTTTGATTTGAGTTTCGGACTTTGCAGTCTTTCAAATGTTTATTGATTACCTAATACCACTTAAAATTATAATAACAAATTTGAAGTCCTTTTTCATGCAATTAACGGGCCCATTTTTTAAGAAAAAGATGGAAAGGTTACAAAAATCTCACAGCATGCAAGCAAAAGTCAATTTTTAACAAATCTGCTAGAACTTTGCGAATGATTGATTTCAAGCTTGGAGTTTGATGTCTCTAAATTTTCTTTTGGGAACCTTACAAAAATCGAATTTCCGGGAAAAAATCTCTGAGCTCCTTTCTGATTTCAGAGCTCCTTTCTGATTTCTGAGCTCCTGTCTGAAAGAAAAAAACTCTTTGGGAACCTTACCAAAATCGAAAATCAAGAAAAAAATTATCTGGGCTTCTTTTTGAGCTCCTTTCTGATGAGGTCATTTTTTCCCGATTTTGATTCAGGAGTATACATAAAAGTTCTACTGACGTAGAGCTTTAGAATGATAGCTTTTTGTTATCTCAGGAACGAAAAGTTATGTGGCCCAAAAGAAAAACATGCGAAACAAAAAAAAACTTTTGAAACAACGTTCAGTAATCGTGAAAATATATCGCAAGATATTCATTCACTGCTGAATTTCAAGCGAAAACTTTAACCAGATATAACCAAAATATTCTTAAAAAATACTCTAGATCGGACAATTCTTTTTCCAATCATTTTTGTGGTTACTTTTTCAATCAATTGTTTTAATTCATTTCAGAAAGAGACGGCAATAATTGTGCAGCAAAACTATCATAGACGAATGAAAATTTGGAAAACACTCAGAACGAGAAAACCCGGAAACAGTTCTGGGGTCTCATGGACCAAGAAGATACATAGAGCCGAAAATCAAAGATCCGAAAGGGCAAATAGATTCGGAGGAATCAACATCTTCAGCCGGTAAAAACAATTGGGATTTCGAGGAGCAATAACCTGTAAGAAGTATATGTTTCTAGGTACGTTTCGACCGCGTGCTCGAGGTTTGTTTCGAATTTGTGCTCGACACAAACCTTTGTCTCGAGGATTCTTTTTCGGCCGGGCGCTGACATATGCTAGACTTTGAAAGTCAAAACAAAAAGTGAATAGCTCGACCCAGGTGCCAAGCACTAAAGGGAAGCACTAAAAACCAGTCACCGGAAAAACTAACGGACCACTAAAACCCAAAAGCAGTGACGATTCGAAGAAAACAGCCAGCAACTCCGAGTCAGCAACTCCCCAGTATTGGCTAAACAATGGATAGCACAATCGCTAGAAGACCTTGCCGAAAAGAGTCTCCAAACGAAAAAAGGCATGTTAAGGCAATTGACACAGAAACCTTTTGTGATGAAACATCGGACGTGACAAAAATCGTAGAATATAGCAGCTACCAAGATTACCCAAGATACGGCGGAAAACTCGGTGGCAAATGAAAACTAGGATAGACGGTTACTGCGCAAGTAGCACAGAATTTTCTGACCATAGTCTTTAGAAAACTATTTTTTCTGTTTGGTGAGATAAACCAATTTTTACGTAAAAGCATAACTTAGGCGTATTAGACAGTCATAGTATTAAAAAACATTTTGTAGAAAAATGAGTAGAAAAACTGAAAACCAATTTTTGCAGAAAATTTTTGAACTTTTTGAAGTTTTGGGTTTTCAAAATGAAGATAAAAATCTCCAAAAACTAGTTTTACTTACTTAGAATTAAATTTTAACGTCTTAAATGAAGCATAGTTTAGCTGCTCGCTCGAATTAAGACGAAAAATTAAAAATTTCAAACCGGTTTTTACTCGACACTGGGAAAATTTTAGCGATGATTATTTGTGGTACCTGATTTTGCGCGGAAAACAAGAAAAAAAAACAAAAACACATCCACATACAAAGTTCCTCCCCTTTTTCAATGGTCGGAACAAAAATAGCAGAGGTGAGGAGGAAAGAAAATCTGTATTGAACTGGTATAGAACAAAACTTAGACCACTGATAGAACAAAACGATTTGAGTTTCCTGTCTCTTTAGGAGTGTTCGCAGACCTTACCTCTTATCTAAGCGGTTTAGCCTTCAACACCGATTCCAAGTCATACACCGATAACCAAGTTGTTTCTGTTTCTGATTCCTGGTAAAAAAGAGGGGGGGGTGTAAAATCAGGTTGTAAACCAACAGCTTTGTTGTCCGATCTCTGCACAGTAGTATTGTTGGTGTCAGCGGCCGCCACTCGACTCTTGACTTGTTTGACTCTCCGTTGCAACATTGTCACCAAAGTCACAGTCAGAAGGGCCATGATAGTTATGGTCGGGATGGCCACCACTTCACGCGTGTTCTGAATGAACACATTTGTCCATGATGGAGCACACCTGCTGCGTTTGTCTGTTGCATCAATCCCGCTTGAAACATATATAGGTCCAAATACTTACATTGGACAGGGGCGGACATAAATAGTCGGGCAGAAACTTGATTGACCGAAATTGGAACGACTTACCAATCGAAGGCAACCTGCTACATAATGTGCTGAGTATCCAGATCTTAGTAAAACAAATATCCAATTAAAAATCAATTAAAATGCAGCCGGTTTCGTCAATTTCAACTTCAACAGGCATTGATTAGAATCTGAAAAAAAAAACACAACTAGACATCATATTCTGTACAAATGGTAAAAATTATGGAAATGAACAGGAACTAAATTTTAAAACAGCAACCGGGAAGACTCAATGGACTCGCAAAAGTTCATAAAGATCAAAAAGACTCTTCTGTCCGACCTAATCTGAGCATGATCAATTCGTATAATCACAGCCTTGCCAAGGACTTGGACGCCTTGTTTAAACCTCTTTTAGTGGCAAATATTTGCCTGAAAGATACTTTTGATTTTCTCTCGAAATTGGATGAAATCATCGAGAAAATGAGCTATAAAACGATTTATGGTCAGCTTTGAACGTAACATCGCTTTTGACCAACTTTCCTGTTGAAAAAATTTTTGGAAATATTCTCAAAAACTACCAGACGAATTTCATCTCCGCCCCAAACAGTGAAAGTGCTTCTGGAGATGGCTTGTCTTGATATTCTTTTTTGAATTGATGGCCAAACGTGGCAACAAACAGAAGGATTGGCAATGAGAAGCCCTCTTGGTGTATTGATGGGTGGATTTGCACTTGACATGATAGAAGCGCAGATATCAAGCTATGAGTTCCAACCAGAACTTCACCAGCATTACGTTGATGACTGATTCGATATCGTTGAAAACGAGAACCAGGCGACTATTCTTCTGAAAAGCCTGAATATTATTGTTCCTGAGTTGCAGTTCAAGCACAGAACAGAAATTTAGGGGTCGCTGAGCTTTTAAGACGTTAAATTGAGTAGAATTGGTGACAATTTTTCAACATCTTGGTACGTGAAACCCTCCAACACGGGGCTTCAAATATCGTTCTCATCATATTGCGATCCAAGATACAAAGAAGCGGTCCTTAGAAAGTTTTGCAGAGAGCTTTAACGAATAGCTCTGATTACCACGCTGTCATAGCAGCTTTGACAAAAATTTTGACGTTCGATATTTCTACTGATTCTGACAAGAAAAATGTGTTTTGGATGTTACTATTTATCGAGACTATCAACCATGTGCTAGCCTTGAAAATCTGGGCACTTAGAAACCGTGTCAAAAGATCCCCATGCCCCTACGAAAACTAAATTCAAAACCCTCATGAAACATCTGAGGACGAAAAATGCCGAATCCATCATCTTAAAGTGCGAAACTCGCGGAAAAGCTATGCTCAACAACTTTGGCAGTTCTCATACTTTGCTGCTGTTTTGAAATTTTGTTCTTTTTTATTTCCATAATATACACCAGTTGTATAGATTAGAATGTCTAGTTGTGTTTTTCAGATTCCAATCAATGCCTGACAAAGTCGAAATCGACGAAACCGCATGCATTCTAATCGACTTTTATTTGAATATTCGTTTTTACTGCGAAGACAACCTAATTGTTATTTTTGGGGCTAATGAACCCTATGTTTTTCTAAAAAGAATATTAAATAAGTTGTCGTTACGAATACAATGGTTCTCGAAAAGCTTACCAACCGGGTTCGAGTTGCTCGAATAAAATTGAATACATTTTGAAAATTTTGGCCAAAATACAGAACGTTTTCATTTTCTCGACAAACTTTCGGCATGATTAGATTACATCACCCCAACAAAAATTTACTCAATCCAGTTTGAACATGTTTCAATTTTTCGCCTAATTTTTGCATGTTTCGACTGTTTTGACTTTCTGGATCGAAAAAACTGTCCGTTAATTTGCTCGTGTCATCTCAATTTTGACTTTCGATCATAAGTCAATCAAACTTCTTATTTTGGATTCAAATTTCCTAAAATCGCCGTCCCTGTATTTGATCATCACCTAAAATTAAAAAAAAAACCAAATGGTTTACAAAAGTATATGTTAAATTATTGGCAAAATAGATTATTTTGATCTACTTCACATGGTCGAAAAATGGCGTTCGTCAGGTCAATTTGAATTTTGATGCAATTTGTGATAAAATCAGTGAAATGTTTCTTTCAGACGACAAATTGAGCAAATCTTGGTTTTTTAACAACGTAAAAAAAACGTATTTTGCCAACAATTTAGCAATGACTGAAACAGTGAAAACTGATCACAAGAATGTCATTCGGAATGAGCCAATCAGGAGTAGGACGAAGATTGAAGTCAGGACAGGAATGAAGGCCGCCTTCTGAGTGCAGTTATTTTTGTACCACACGCCACCTGCTCGATAGAGTCTTTTTTCACTTTTTATAACGAATTGATCAAAAGATGTTTTGACAAAAATGATTCTATCTGGCATTGAACTAGCAATTTTGTTTGAAATAATTAAGAGGAAATAGCTTAATCCATAACACAGAAAATCTGTCAACAGTAACAAAACTATTTTAAGAAAAACCGGAAAAAATAACCTTTTCAATTTTTGTTTTCAAATTTTTTTAAGGAAATTGTATGTTTTTTGGCGCAGAAAAAGCGCCAAATTTTTTTCACTGTATTGAATTAGTTTCAATCATAGGCAGAAAAAATGCCAAAACAATTTCACTGTAGGTGAATTAGTTTGACGCTGCTTAATAAGACTCGCTCGTTCCTTTTCTGTGGACTGCGATGATTCTGTCCAGAGACACGAGCACAGCCATCCAGCCAGGGGCGGTCGAGACCACGAAACTGATCATCTGCATCAATTTACAGCTGATGTCAGACAGCTGATAGAAAGTTCCGCCGCCAACTGAAATATTCAAAAGTCAAAAAGTATTATAGGATGAGCTGATTTGAGTCATTGTTATTGGAGATGAATCAATCATCTGCGTAATTGTAGCATTTTTATCAATTGAAATCTTTCTAACTAGTGAGTTATGTTTGAGGTGTAACTCATAGAGTAGTTTCGGATAGGGTACACCGCCTGCTCGTCGCGCTATCTTATTTTCGGCCGGATAGATTCGTGCAACTTCTTAGTCTAATACCGATCCTAATCTTACTCTTATATCTACTAGTCTCAGGGTGTTTAACTAGTCTCTGCTAGGCTCAATAGATCTAGAGTATACTGGCTTATTGCGACTGCTAAAGTTCTCTTGGAGAGGTAACTAATTTCTAAGTGAAATTCAAATCTCTCTGGTGCTGAAATTACAAGTAAATTCAGCATTTACAAATAAGGGGGTTGTTAGTTAGATGGATCGTGATTGGTTAATATTAAATATTTTAGAGAGACAAAATATCCAATTTATAACCAATAAAAAATATAGTTTATATCTGGTTCCACCCATCCGGGATTTAAAGAATTTTGAATCTTAGATCTTCTATCTGTAATGAAGGATGGATGTTGGTCGTTGTTATTTGGCGAGCATCATTTCCTGTTCTGTTCTTGGAGAAGAAAGCTCCAGGAAATTGGAGTCATCGATAGGAAGTTATTAGTTATCGTTTGACAAAAACTTTGACTGTCAAAGAAATCAATCTGATTTCAAGATGGTTTGCTATGATCGTCTGTTCTTGATTGGTTGTGGAGAACTGTGTTTCGATCTGGTTTGGGAATGGTGTGAAGATTGTGCTTGGAGGGGATGCCTTGTAACTCGGATCTGTACGTATACTTGAACATCGAGATGGTCATTGGTCTGATTCAATGAAGTCCTTTTCTGCGAAATCAAGTCGTACTCTAAATCCTTTATGAGTCGTGATTCTGAGCGGCATGTCAGTTGTATTTAGCCATTCTGTAGGTTGAGTGTGATGGGGTCGTGTAGTCTTTGGGTGCTAGTTTTTGTAGTTGTTTGTGATCTATGTACTGCATATTATAATTTACATTTTTTTATAAAATTTTGTTAATTTTAGTCTTTAGTTATGATTTTGATTAATTGTTTTCGCAAAAGCGTTTTAGTTTTATTTCAGTTATTTTTAAGAGTTACTCACACTTGAGTACCTCTTGTCAAAAATCGTGATATGGTCACAAAGCGTGGATGTAGCATGATGGGTTAGGCCGGCTATAGAGCATGCTCAGGACGTCCTCTCTGGTGGGTTAGGCCAGGAAGAGGAGTATGATTTCGTGCTGGTTTTTAAGGGGTCCTGTTTTGTGTTAACTTTTTTGTTATATTATTTTTTGTTTTCCTTTTGTTTCGTTGGTTGTGTCCTTTTCTCAAAAATCAAATTGTTTTTGGTTTGGGTTTGTCTTGCGACTTTTTGATGTTTTATTGTTTCTTTTTTAGACTGGTAATAGTCTTCAAAAGAATAAATTATCCAGTTTTAAGCAGGTTTGATCCGTTTTGGGTACCTTGGGTTTTCTTTTCTTAGTCTTGCTGTTATTTTATGGTTTATGGTTTTTAGCAAGCTGCGTTGGTTAGTTTGGTTATTATATAATTCCATTCCAACCGGGTTAAAGGAAAAGTGGAAACTTGTTTTTGCTTGTTTGAGTTGTTGTTAGTGCAAACTTAAAACTTGAATTCAATATTTTAAACAATTCTTCGTGGGCAAGCTGTGCGATTGTGGATAGAATTTCTGTGCGTTTGAACAGAAGTTATAGAAAAGGTTAGTGCTGCATTTCATTGTATGGTTTTACTGCTTTTAAGACTAAATTTACTGCTTTTGGGATTGAAAAGTATAAATTGATTTTCATCGTTTTTAAGTTTACTACATTTGGGGAAATAATTTAGAAATGAATTTACTACTTTGAATTAACTTTTACTGCATCATTTAGTGCTGTTGGTTTATTAGAGTTTAAAATGGAAAACAGAGTTTATATTTTTATTTGTCTTTTCTTGTTTTGAACGGCTATCGTGGTGTGAAGACTAAAGAAAAAGCAAATTACTAAATAAAAAGGTTAGCTCAATTTTGAATTAGTTAGTTTGAAAAATATTAAGATCGTAGTTACCTTCAGTCGTCGGGGAAAAAACCGTGAGGGAAAACATCGTGAATAGCGTCTGATGTAGTTAGTAGTTTTGCTAGTATGCGTATTATATTTTTAGTTTGCAGCAGTGGCCAAAGCAATTGCAGTGGTTTTATGGTTTTTAGTTCTTCGGTGCCTACTGCAAACTCATGAGGTGTGTTCTGAATTAGATTACAAATTTTATGATTGTGTTGTGGATGAATTCTAAAATGGGTACTTCTATGGGTTGGATATATTCATGCGGAATGATCAGGGGTCGGGATTCTTCGTCGTTGAAGGTCTTCGTGAGGGGACAAAATATATACACATGAGTGACGAGATCAGATTTCCGGAGGATGCCTTGGAAGTTAGTATTTTTAATGCAATACGTGATGTTTAGAAAAATGGTGAGCTGTATTTAGAATTAATGAATTAAAATCTGCGGTGAGGTTGTCGTGATGGTGTGTGTAAATGAAAATGATTTTGGATAAAACGATAATAAGTATAAGTATGTGTTTTCTTAGTTCTCAACTCAACATGATGTCGTGTGAGCAGTGCAAATTGCGTCCTTTTGATGTCAGGAAGTAAAAGGTTAGTGAAAAGGTTTGAAATTTTTCGTGAAAGGGTTCATACGTTTGAATGTCTGATAGTGCTTCTGAAATAATGTTATCATGCCTTTTATCAAGTATGTTAAGTGTGAATATGTATGATGATTTAGTAAAAAAAACTTTTTTGTGATTTGTGGACTAGCAAATTTATCGTCGTCAAGAAATTGGTCGTGATTAGATCTGATGATGTTATGATCGTAATATTCAATTGAGTAGTCGTTAGCGCGGGGTGCAGTGAATGTTTTTAGCAGTTTTTTATATCCTACGTATGTAAATTGTTGGGGAGTGAGTGCTGTGGTTAATCTGAATAATGGGTCTTTATTCCTTTCAATATCGATAGTGGTGTTATAGAGTGATAGCGTAAGGGGGTTAGTGAAATTATAATAAACTGTCCAATGAAGTGTAGGTATTAATACATGTTCATCTACAAAGTGACGTGGTTCAGGGTTAGGGTCGGATTTATTTAGTGTATATTGGGGAAATAAAGGTAGGGTTATTTGAACAAAATTCGTAGTATTGGTGTCGTCTGGATGGTTGATATATTCTCGGGTGGTTCCGGGTTTGGATGGGAATGGGTGATTTGGGAATTTACGTTTAAAATTTCTATAAGCACGGTTAGTACTATTGGATGATTCTGTTGAAGTGGATGAATGAGCTAATGATGGAGTATAATCTGAAATTGGTGTAGGTGTTGGTGGATTTGATGATGTTATTGTTGATGATAATTGGTGAATAGTTAGGGTGTGGGGAGATAGCAATTGTTGTTGGAGTGTTATAAAATTATCTAGTTCTTCGGAAATTTGAATATTATCTGGGGAGTTGTTGGTGGAGCGTTCATTATTGAATGGGGAGTAGGTTGGGGTTACTTGAAAAGGAGTGTAGGGAGATGTATGTTGGGTTTGGATAGGTCGGAAAGGGGTTTTGAGAAGATTGTTGAGCTGGTCGGGGTATGAGTTGAAGGGGATGGTTCAGAATCTGCGAAATCATCGGGAGTTTCGATATCAGAATTATTGAATTGTGAAAGTGTTGTATAAATTGTGATATCTGAGTTAGTTTCAGAAGTCATGCCTGATGATGTAATAGCTTGTGGTGAATCAGGTGGCGGAAAAGCAAAAAGTGGGATAATAGGGAGAGAATTTTGGAGGTTCGCAGTAAGGGAGTTTGATCGGTGGAGTAATCCAACTTGTCTGCTCATCTTTGGCTAAAAAAATGATTATTTTGAGACTGAAAGGTGGTGTTATGGGGTTATTCAAAGATTTGTTCGTATGTGTCGTCAATTGGAGGTTGTTGTGTCACTATATGTTGGATGGGGCTTTGTGTGTGGCTGGTTCTTAAGTTTGGGGGGTTTGGTAAGTTTCGAAAACTTCGTGAGACTAATGATAATGGATGATTATGATGTAGATTTGGCAAATGGGGTGCCGCAGATAATGCGTTTGTTTTATTATTTGAGTCATCCTATGCGTTGGGACTTGTTGATAGTTTTGTTTTATATTTTTTAATTTGTGCATCTAGGAGGATTTTATTTATTGATGATGAAAATATTCCAAAAAATCCTGCAAATAATATGCGTGCTACGCTGGCTTGTCGGTTTACTTGTGTATATGTTGCGCATGTGTTATAGATTCGTTTTAGTAATGAGAAAAGAAATCCAATAAAAATAAACATTGCTTATAAAATAGTCAATCTTTCTAAGATGTATTATGGCCATCCTAGAAAGGCTAAAACTTCGTTTTTGAGTTTTACAAAACTAAAAATATTTATTGGTGAGATATCTTGTGGTCTATATTTTTCACCGTTTAATTATATGTAATTTTTAATATCTTTAAATTATCCGCTGTAATCTTGTGCGTAAATATCTGCAAATCCTGCTGTTTTTGCAAGTTTTCGTAAATTTTGGTCTATTGATTGTCGTTGTATAGAGTCCATATGTGTTAGTAGTTCTTGAAACTGTTGTGTTCTAATGTGATGTTGTAAATCGGATTTAGAATATATACCGATTGATTGTAAATCAATATTTGGGTTGCGAGCAATAGCTCGAATGCTTTCTGGTGAAAACTTTTTTACTGGCTGCATGAGTGTAGGGTATGCTGGAAGTAGGTAGTATTTTTCTTCGTCAGGGTTAAATTTTACGACGTTGTGGCTATTTTTGGATCCACATGGGACTGCGGTATCCCAAAAATATGTTCGTCCTGAAAGTGTATCAACAAAATGTACTTTATTTTTGTAGAATATGGGGATTCTTTTGTAACATCTTTTATCTTCAAAAACATA